GCATACTCCAAAATATTTGGCATAATTTAATATTTTCCAAATTAGCCAGTAGATATATGATGATTATAATAGTTATTTTCAATGAAAAACAATATAATAAAAATAATGCTTATAATCTTGTACAGAACATATGCAAAGTGTATAATTTAGATATTTTTAATTAAAATTTAGCAAAATAAAACACTAATACTTCCTATTAACGAATTGATATAATTATGATTCACAATATCCCATTCTTTGACTACAGCTACAGTATTGTGAGAATTAATGTGTACAGATATCGAAATTCAGTTTTCATAAGTTGGCACACCTGCTGTGCCTATTTTGTCAAAAAACCAACATAACCTCAAAACCTTATTAGTATATTGTTCAAAACACGTGCTTTGTGTTTTATGTCATTATTATATTTTTGTTGTATATCAGGTTATATCAGGTTAACTGTGCAATCAGGTTTAACTTTTTAATATGGATATCACTCCTAGAACAAGAGAACGGATCATAACACTTAGTGAGCATATACCAATGACTCAGAGGGACATTGCAAAGGAGTGTTATGTAAGTTTGGGTGTAGTAAACACAATAATTAAACAAAAAAGGGAAACAGGATCAGTTGAAGTGCAGCGGAAATGTGGAAGAAAACGGAAGACTACTCCTCGAGATAAAGCCTTTCTCTTGCGCGATAGCAAACTTCATTCCAGAAAAACAAATTATGACCTCTAGCAAAACTAAGAAAAGGCTAGAATAAAAATTCACGACTCAACGGTACGCAGACGTCTCTTAGATGAAGGGGGAAGAGCCGTGAGACCGCAGAAGAAACAACTTTTTACAGCGCCTATGATCAAAAAATACTAAATTGGGAAAAAAATACGCTCATTGGAGTGCAGAAGATTGGAGAGAAGTGTTATTTTCTAATGCAACCCACTTTCTACTGCGGGGCGAGCGATCAGAACTCGTATGAAAGGCAGAAAATGAGTTACTTTCAGCTAGTCATATTAACCAAACAGTTATGTCCCACCAAAAAAATGTTCCAGGGCTGTTTTCTATACTCAGGAACTGGCACTCTTATTTCTATTAAAGGTATGATGAACAGTGAAAAGTACAAAGCCATGCTAGGGTAACGCTTAGCTATAAAGCTTGACAAAGTACAGGCCGAAGGGACTGCAATTTTTTCAACAAGATTCAGCTTCGTGCCATGTATCGAAGGTTATGATGAACTACTTAAAGAATAATAATATTACCCTTTTTGATTGGCCTGGGAATTCCCCTGACCTTAATCCTATTGAAAAATTGTGGTGATATGTAAGGCTAAACTGCAAAAATTTGACTGTACAACAAAAACAAAAATGGTGGAAGCAGTGATTAAGTGTGGTTTAGAGATGAAGCAATCATAAACAATTGCAAAAAACTTGTGGGTTTCATGCCTAGAAGACTCCAGGAAGTCATAAAAGTAAACAACGAACATTAAATATTTATTAATGAAAAAATTTCATATAAGACTACCTAGATTTACCTTTGGTCTAAATAAATCATATTTACAAATTAATTCTGTTTGTTCACATTCATTTTCACAATACTGTACTTTAGACTTATTTTGTTCGTGAATGTTCCTTCTCAGCTTTAGTTCTCTTCTCTGGGTGACCTGATCTTAATTTGTCGTATTTCTCACAAGGGATCTTCTAAACACTGCGACAAATCATACATCGGACTGTCTCCTCTTTCATATCTTATATCGAGAAAATTCGCTCTATTCTCAATATTATTTCTTAGAGCAGTAATTCTCAACGTGTACTTTTACTAGCGAGGTTTTTAGAATATAAAAAAAATCAACATTGACTAATTTACTAAAATCAAAGCTTAACAACATTCTGATAAAATAAAAAATAAAATACACATGAACGCAGATAAAGATGTACAATTATAAAGAGCACTGAATACTAAATTATCAACAAGTTTAATGTATATTAGTCATTTTCTTGGGCCTGTTTGGCAGAGCAAAGTTTATCAAAACAGGGTGTAATAAATTAGAAATACAAGCTTTCAGTTCTTTTTCTACATTTAGCTGCGTCTGCATCTGTATTTGGTCTTCAAAGCAGCCATCGCAGAAAATCCTGTTTCGCAAAGGTAAGGTGTTGAAAACGGTAATCTTCTTCTTCCTATGCCGTCCCCATTAACGGAGGTTGGCGACCACATTTCTAAAAGTTTCTCTGCCTTTTGCAACATGGAATGTTTGTCCAGTCTCGAATATTTCGCATCCATGACTTCCTCTTTCTACCTATTCCCTTTTGGCAATCAACTCTACCCTGCATAATGACCTCCAGAAGACTATATTTATCATTCCTGAGTATGGGTCCAAGGTATGCAGTCTTAAAACGGTAATAGTATTACGGAACGCTCTGGTTTTCAGCGCAGAAAACTAATCATTTACCAGTGACCAAAATTCAAAATGGGATTTATTATTAAACTGTCTGTTGATTTCGGCATTTGCGGTGAAGTCTATGAAGGTTTGTTCTCCGTCAGTAGAGGGCCCTTCGGGTATAATTTAAAATGGCTTCCTAACCCACTCGTAACTACGTATTAGTCGGTCGTCGGCAAAAAATATATATAAATATATAAAAATACCTTAAAATTTTTTGTCTGCATCGCTTAATGATTTTCAATGGTTACAAAAACAACTTTCACGTGTTGTATTTTAACCTTGTAAGTTTTAATCCACTTTTGCAAACATATCTAGGTTTTGTTTCTTTAAATTTCTGCTCCACAAATCCAATTTTCTACAACAAGCATTTCCATTATCACTCGAATGCGACCGATGTTGCTTTTAATTCTATTGGTTTGCAGAAAAGTACTTCAACCACTGATATGCCATCACAAATCACAATTAGCATCATTATTACTATTATTTTGTCTCATCAAGCTGAATTGAAAACAGCTTGTCGCTTAAATTAACGAGTAGCTGATCCTGTACATCTTCAGCTATATCACCATCTCGACGGACAACAATATGATTTGATAGAGGTATAGGCTGCAATTTTTTAGCAAAATTATCTCCAAACATAGTTTCTACAATTTGAATTCCAGCTGGAAAAATAAGCTATAATTTTTTTTTATTCAAAAGCTTTTTCATTTAAGTCAAAGTTTTTTTTAAGAGTTTTGCTTTTCGTGTGATTTTACTTTAACTCAAAGAAGTCTTGTGGTTTGTTGATATGTACTCTTTATAAAGTGTTTCCAAATGTCTTTTAAGTTTATTAGGTTTCATGCTGTCGGATGCTAAAATTTTTGAGCAAATAATACATAGAGGCCTTCATTTACTTCAGTAAAAGTAAACCCAAAGTTTAAGTATTGTTGGAAATATTTTCTTGATTTTATTTTTGGAACCACTCTCGCCTGTGCACTTATTGACGCTTCACTGATATCTGATGCTCGCTTACGCCCAGTTAAAAATATATCCATAATTTTGTATGAATTTATATTTACCTTCTGCTTGGAATATCTTATTGTAGTACCGTCAACTGCAATTAACACGTAAACTAGACCATACATCTTCTTCTTTGGGTGCCGTCTTCAATGAAGGTTGGCGATAACCTCAGCAAAATCATTTCTGTCCCTTGTTACATGTTCACAATAAATTTAATTGATTAAATATAAAATTATGTAGATTACTTTACGGCAAAATAGAGGGCCGTAGAGGTATAGAATTAGTTAAAAAGCGTTCAGACTAAACAATCTATTAGATAGTGGGTGGTTAACTACAATAAAAAGGTCTACCAAGCACTACCAATACTGTAGAGAAGAACATATCGAACTATGAAACTGAAATACTACTGAATTAAAAATCAAAATTAAAAACAAAGTTTATAAATGGGGTATAATATCAATAGTTCAGTTAAACTCAAAAGTCAATGGGAGAACTATAAAATTGAATTTTCATTACAGAATATATACGTGAGGCAATAGCGGCATTTTGGTGACATTCGAAATAAACTCCAATCATATCATACAATTCTGCATTTGATATAATCATCACGAATTATTAGTACTGATAATTAATTACTAATGTTACCAATATAAATATCTATTGAAAAAAGTGCAATCTTTAATTCGAATTATAATATAACACTTCTTAACAATGTTTTAACTGCTGTCGATAAATAAACAATATGAACTCCCCGTCAAATTCATTGTCGTAGCCTACTTAGTTTCGAAAAATCTATTTTTAATCATATAAAATAAGAATGGTGACAATAGGTATTAACTTTAAGATTCTTCTGCTATAAAAAAAATTGAAAGTACCTACTGACTTATTTTTTAATTTAATTTATAATACGGGGTGAGTCAATATTATACTTACTTATGTTATGTGTTTTTATTCACATCTCGAGTTCGACAAAAGCTATTAACATGCGGTTTACCTCATTTTGTGACAAATTTAATCCAGTTCTATTATAGTTTACAATAAATAGGTGTTTCCTTTAAACATTTTGAAGAAAATCAAATTTAAATTTTTTCTATTTGAAAGTACCCTCTACCTATGACAATTAAAACTAAATTCAATTATTTTATAGTAGATGTATATTAAGATGTATTTAGATGTAAAATAAGTCGTGCACACTCTTTCTAATGACACTAATTTCGTTAAAATCGGTAAACCAAAGTTATAGGTATTTATCCACACATATTTTTCCGCTCTCCTTTACCCTTTATTTTTAAAAATTTAAAAAAAGTACTTGAACAACTTTGTGCAAAATTTATGCCTCTTTCTAGTTTACTTATTTAACACTTGGTATAATTAGGCATATTTCCCAAAAAACTATTTTTCAAAGTTTTCTTCACAGGTTACGCCCCCTAGCGGTTAACCCAGAAACTTGAAAGTTACTTTCAGCGATTTGTCTTGCCCACTTTTACTAAGGAATTTTTTCTCCTAAAGTTTTAACATAAATAGTTTCTGATATATAGCCGAGAGATCAGCTTATTGGACCACCCGGTACAATAAGTATAAAAGATACGTATATAAAAATTTAATTGGGATTTCTTTTGATTGAGATACAAAATACAAACATACATACATAATTACTTAATAATAATAATAACAAAACATTTTTATCTAGTGATACGTTTTAACCATCAAATTGATGAAAAGCGTTATAGTTTGTTGTTTTTTGTCTTCAATATCCTTTCTTGGGGCAACTACTTTTCGGTACACATTTCTTGGTTGTAGCATCTCTCAAGTAGCCAGGCTTACATTCGCAAAATGGAAAACAAGCTTGAGCACAAACCAAATCGGGACATTTGGGATCTGGTACTTGGCATGTCCGCTCAGGGCAAGGACAAGGAACGCATCCGTCTTGTTCATTTGGACCACATTTACCTAAAATAAAGAAATGAAAATCTTTTAGTGAACTGCAGTTATTAACATTAATATAGAGGAATTAAAAGATATTTATGTGTAATTAGTTTATAAATATAAACACCAACACGTTGGACTAACGATCTAAAACGTTGCCATAGGAATTGGAAGCAAGAGGTACAAGATCGAAACATACAGAAAATTATGAGGAAGGTCTATGTCCAAGATTGATTGATGATGATGATGGATATCAAAGAATATATTGTTTAAATAGTGATTAAGTCATACCTTTTTGTCCAAACGCGAACGTCACTAATAAACACACTGTAAAAAATGTTGTTACAAGCTTCATTTTCTAAAAACTGTGCAATATATTTTTCCTGTCGCTGTTATATTTATACTAAATAATTATGTATGTAACATTTGTATACAGTTACCCAGAAATAATAAAATTCCAAATATGTATCAACTTGATAACTTTTTCGTGGAATTTTTGCAGCATATTAAATTAATGTTTTCATTGCCTGAAATATTAAAGGGTAAATACCTCTAATTATACTTTTTAAATAGATTTTACATTTTAAATACCAAGTCAATACTAAATATTGTATTATCGTTATCGTAATTTAATGCGAAGTGTATAGCATTAATCTAGTTTGGGTCGCATTCTTTTTTTATGGTTTTAACAATTAGTCATCATCATTTAACGACCATGATAATTTTGTCTTTCTTGATATCCAAGGCAAAAAGCTCGAGTTCATTCGAAAAATATTTAATTTTTTTGAATAATTACTTTCTTTTATTTTAAAACATTGTTTTTAATTGTAAATAAAGCATGTATGGCAGTGCGCAATGCACTAAGGCGCGCCGCACATTCAGACGCAGGTGACGCAGGCAACGCAGCGTAGGACAGCACAGGTTTCTGTTTTCCGTACAATTACATTACCCCGCGCGAATTGAAACGCAGGGCAGGGCAGCACAGAACTGTGTTTAGGAAAACCTGCCAGCGCAGTCGTCCGGACACAGATTCCTGTGCCACGTGCAAAGCAGTTTGTTTGTTTCTAGTAAAATTGTGTGTGGTTATATTCGAAATAAATGAACAATTAATCGAATTGGTGAGAAGCCAGAGAATTCTTTAGGATATCAACGATCCCAATTATTTAAATTATATAACTAATTTACAAGAAGATAGTGAAGATAAAAACCCACAACAGGAAGACTCCATAGTTGATCCAGAGAGTGAAATTTTTGACGAGGTGACCAGCGACATTCGACATGATACCGAAGAAATCAAGAGTGTTAAAAATGACATTGTAATGAGCCGTCTACGTCTGATATTGTTATACAAAAAAATAACGAAAAAGAAAATATCAAACGTAAGGCAACTAAAGACCAATCAATCATAATTAAAGTAGCTAAAAATAAGAAACCTAAAAATGATGATATACAGGAAGTGATAAAGCAGTCAATTATGCAACGTCAAAAAAGGGCCGAAGAAAGAGCAGCTGAAAGGGCAGCACAGAAGCCTTTGTATGATGATCTCTATCATTTTTATATGTCGATGTACAAAATAACCAAAAAAATGCCTCCTAAATTTCAACATCGTGCAAGAAATGATGTGTTCCAAGGTATATTGCAGCTCGAAGCTGCATATCTAGAAATTCATGAACCCAGTCAAGAAAACTACACTCATAGTGAACAAAGGGTTTTTACAAGTGCTTATGTTAATACCCATATTCAGCAGCACCATTACTCGTCAACACCTCTTCCATCACCAAATTCCAGTCACAGTAGCCAGCATACTGAGAATTAACATTGTAATAATCCTCTAGCTCCTATTCCCAACAACTGTTTTTTATGCTCAAATGATTACAACTTTAGAAGCACCAGTAAATATTCATCTATTACACTCACCCCCAGGTTGTCCGCTGAGACATCTCCTCAAACCGTTGATACCGGTAATATTTGTAATTTTGTATAAAACTATAGAGTATAGAATTATGATTGTTTAAAATGATATTTTTGTAATTTTTTATAAAACAAAATTAATAAAACTAATACCTTAAAAAAACAGCTAGTTTTTCTTTGGTTTTTGGGCATTACAACCATCTGAATAAATACTGTTATCTATTATATTATGTACTTCATCAACTTGTTTTCTGCTTAACCGAAAATTATTGCAAACTGATAATAGTGCAAATTCCCCATGAGTATTTCTCTTTTTCGTATAGTTGCGTTTCCAAAATAATTTTTTTCTCTTTGACATGTTGAATAATAAAAATGTTTCTATAAATTCTGTGTCTGACTCTGATTCGTAACTGTCCAGAAATAACGCCATTATTTAAATTATAAAATTCTCTTTCTATGTTCATATAATATATTCGATTAGATTGAAGTAGTCTCCATTCTTCGAATGCTGCTTGTTTTATACTCGCCTTTATACGCTCGTATATTTCTTCGATGTTGCCGTATCTAAATTCTATTAATTTTTGGTCTAGACGTTGTTGGTATAGTTCTATTATTGATTGTTCTTGGAGTAGTTCTATATTGCATTGTTTTTCTCTTATAGTGTTCAACGGTTCTTCTGTAGAGGGGGTCTTGTTATGTTTCCAATTAATGCCATTTTTGCTGTCAGTAGTTTATGGTCCGTTCCACATTCTGCTCCTCTTCTGACTCACACATCTTTGATCTTTATTGTGGTGTCTTGTTTAATCATTATATAGTCTATTATCGATATCAGCTTTCGTGTTTCGTGCGTTCATGTATATTAATGAATATTTTCATGTCTGAAAAATCCATTGGTGATTTTTAGTCTAAAATTTGTGTCCCAGTGAAAAGCTTCCAATCCTCATTATGTTTGTCTAAAGTCATTTTGGGCTAATTCGCAGTGTAAGATGCATTGTAAGTCCAGTTCCAACCTCAGAAATTAAAATTAAAGAAATTTGAATGCCCTCCAGATAACTCTTTTGTGTTGATTTTTAAAGGAAAAATAAACATTTTCTAATGATAATTTCTTTCATAACAATTTAAGAAATTGTAATAATTAATATTGTAGATCTTTGGGTGCAGCTTAACCGTCATTTTAATTGTTCTCAGTTTTAAAATTTAATATTGACATCTGACAGCTAGCTTTATTTTTTTTTGACATTTGGTAAATATCTAATCATAATAGAAATTTTGTTTTTATAGAAGGTTAACCTCTATGCATAGTTTCACTAAAAAAGAAATTTTTTTTATTTGTATTAATTTATTTCTGCTACAAATTGTCGCCCATTTATCATTGTAAATTCTTCTAGTATCTCCAATTTCTAGAGTTTGTAAACGGATAGGACATAGTAAGTGTTTTTCTTTGTTATTTTGGTACTATTTACTTTTATAACTGTTTCTGGTTAGACAGTAATAAATATTTAATTTTTGCCTAAACCATTTTGTTTATTTTTTTTTAACTAACTCTCTAACCCTTTTTTGTGTTTTCAGGGAGGAAGAGCTTTTTATTTTATCCAACAGGAAGATTCCTCAAAGCGGCGTCCATTTTAAATAGCTTAAGAACTTTTTTGTATTGTGTTTTGTTCCAGGAGAATTATGTAAGTACACCTTTGTTTCATTTTTGGTAGTTACCCCATCTCAGTCCCATTGTCATTCACTTATCTACGATCCAGTTTTCCAAATAAACCCTGAGGGGCCGTTCGCAGCAATTTGGTTTTATTTTGCTTGCCCTATCTCCACCCCAATAATTTATGTCCCCAATTTTCAACCCCTTATAGTAATACCCTATGTGGTAGGCAAAATAATCGTTACAAACAAGGTTTCTTTCACATTAAGTATTATATCAAATATATGTATATGACATTTTAATTTAGACAGACCAATAAATATAATATTAACAATAATCAGAAATTATATAAACCTAAACTTCGGATATATATATTTATTATACTGCTTGAGGACATTTATCTTGAGGTACACACGTCTTAGTTGAATTATCCCTTAAATATCCTTCTTTGCACGCACAAAACGGACGACAGACGAAAGAACAAGCTATGTTTTCAGGACAAGATGGTTTGGGATCTTGGCAAGTGGCTTCGGGACACGGACATGGAGCACATCCTTCTTGTTCTTCTGGTTTGCATGCTGAAAAAATAAATAAAATAAGTAGGCGTATATTATTCATATTAAGATTGGTAATGTCTTTAAAATATAAGAGTAATTAGAAAATAAAAAGCCTTTTCCTAACATTCGTTAATACAGGTATCTAACAACAGCTTTTAAAAAAATTGTTATTTTTACTCTACTCTATTACTAATGTATTAACCAATACATAAACAATGTAAGATCACTATTTAATTTTAAATATTAAACATGAAGATCGGTAAAGTATTTGGAAAAGTTACACAATTATTTTACTAAGAAAGCTTACAAAATTCTTTCAATATTTTGAAAATGATTACAAGAAACATAAGTCCAGAAGTTCGTTACGGGAATAAGAGAAAAAGTATTTGGTTTCTTCCTCAAATTGAGAAAGAAAACTAAAATTTTTTTTTTCATAGCTAATGTTAAAGTGTTGCTATAACAACTGTTTTTAGTAGATAAAGTATCACTTTAACCGCAAGGGTAGACAAAGTGACACTTTAACAGCAAGAGTAGATAAAATGTTTTAACTTTTTTTTATTAAATAAAATTTACAAATTCGAACACATTAAGAATTAAAAACAACTGAAATTTTACAATTCACAATATTAGAAATATCTATTTTTGGTGCATCACAACTTGTACTCGTTTGATTAAAAACTTGATTCGAGGTACTGGATTGATTTTCTGTAACATTTGTTGGCAAAGTAATTCATATCCCTAGCAACGGAGCAACAGAATTGCGATTTTGTGCTAAAAATTACAATTTTCTTTGAAATTCTATTTTTCACCTGAACATGAAGTCTTGCTATAGAAAAAATTGTTGTATTGCACACGACGATAAAATCGCATTATCTTCTCGAGCATAATTAGCGTATCGACGCTAAAAAACGCTCTCAAAGATAAAGTACAATTTTATCGTCTTGTACAATCAATAACTATTATCAGTGATTGGAGAGAAACAGTTTTCTCGTTAATTTCTAGAACTAGAGCAAACAAGTTAGGAACAGCCGATCTGTGTGTTTTAGAGGTTGAAGATTTATGATGTATCTTTGTTCTGTTAAAAAATTATATGTTTAAATGTAGCAGGTATTTTTTATTTTGATGCAAGTCACAGTACAGTGACCGCTAACAGCCAGTGAATTCTACCACGTGGATTGAACACGGGGCTACTGCGACAATTTTATGAAAAGATCATGGGACTTTTAATTTGTATTAATAATTACGTAGAATTACATACCGTAAATTCCGATATTGAAAGGTGAAAACAAGAATTTTTCCGTCAATAAGCTCTTACAACATTCTTAGCTGGCCTACGAGAACCAATGGATTCTGTTATCAGAGCAATGAGACCAGGAAGTTTAGCCATGGTAATACAATACGTACAGGAAGAAAATAATGTTCGGTGCCTTCAAAAAAATCAAATAATTCAACCTTCAATATCAGGAAGAAGCGAAAATTATCAAGAACGCCGACCTCAGAGACAGCAAATACCTGTACCTATCCAGAAATCATTGTATCAACAGCCAAAATTTTGTAGCTACGCAATGGCAGCAACCAATGAGACAATTTTATCCGCAGAATCAGTGTCAGCAACTACATCGGCAACCAAACTTTAACCAATTTAGACAAAATTTAAATCCTCCGGCATTCAGGACCCAGAACCAATCAAATGTATGGGCACCCAAACCCAAACAGTCAAAACAGCCTAGACCAACACATATGAGTGGAATAACAGAAACCACAACCAGAGGCCGTCAAAATTTTACACCAAATTACTGAGCACAGCCAAAATTCACCGTAGAAGAACTCTACAATATACAATGCCACGGAGATGAGCAAGAAGAGAATGGCAACTAAAATGATTACTACGAACCTAAATACGACAATTTCCTACAAGATACATATGAAAATAAACCAACCGAATACGAAGAAAACGTAAATTTCTTTCAATATTTGGAAGAACCATGTGCCCGAATCGACACAAGATATCTTTGCCAAAAGAAAACAATACTAGAAGCAACGAAAACTGATGACTGTATCAAACAAATCCTGCAACTAAGCACCTAAGAAGCTTCTTGCCAATACACCCCCGTCCAAACTCGAGATGTCATCATACAAAAATTATCCTACAAAGAAGAGAATGTCAACCACAATGATTACTACAAACCTGAATACGACAATTTCCTACAAGATACATATGAAAATCCACCAACCGAATACGAAAAAAACGTAAATTTCTTTCAATATTTGGAAGAACCATGTACCCAAATCGACACAAGATATCTTTGCCAAGAGGAAACAATACTAGAAGCAACGAAAATTGATGACTGTATCAAACAAATCCGGCAGTTAAGAACCCAAGAAGCTTCTTGCCAATACACCCCCGTCCAAACTCGAGATGTCATCATACAAAGATTATCAGATGCACACCATATAGGAATATTCCCCGAATGGACCAAAATTACAATTCGATGTTCTACAACAAAAATTGTTTGCCTAAAAGGAACTTATCTCATCAATCTTCCGCCCAGATGTGAATTCAAAACCTCAATCCAGAGTTGCATAAATTCAAGGACAACCATACTAGAGGAACAGGTAATGCTTCCCAAAATTAGGACCATTGATATTCAAACAGCGATTAAATTCAAATAATTAAGGATAGATCACATCCCCTTAAAAAAACTGCATGAACTCTCTAAGGAAGAGGAACATCTAGAGACAATTAACCCGAAATTATGGAACCATAGCCGTAATCATTTTTGATGACTCCTTTATGTATCTTTATTACAATAATTACAGATCACAAACTTATGGTGGCATGGATGGAATTCCCCTATATTTGGACAAAACAAAAACATACATCGATTGTTACAACAGGAACGACAATAAACGAAAAGAGGCTCAAAATACATCTATTACAGGAAGAATCAATAAAAGATCTATACAAAAGAGGACTAGACCAAAAACTAGAAGAATTCAGATATGACACGTTAGATGAAATGCATGAACACATAAAAACCTGCCTGGTTTCAGCGGCCTTAGAAGCTCTTGAAGAAGACGACCAAAGGAACACCCATCAGAATATCAAATTAAGGGAAGACACATTGAAATGTATAAAAGAAAAGAAAAAACTACACATAAAATACCTAAACACCAAAAACAGGAAGACTTAGACCTATTTAGAGCGAAAAACAGAGAGGTAAAGAAAAGAGTAACAAATGAAAAGAACAAACGATGGGAACAAGCATGCACAGAGATAGAACGATATATCGGAGGAACGAGAAATTCAGAATCATGGCAAATATTAAAAGCGCTTTAACTAAATAAGACAGAGAACACCCAGATCGGCAAAATTAGTGAAAACGAGTGGTAAGAATACTACGTAGAACTACTTACAGAAAACCGTCCCCAATTTCAGGAAGAGAATATAAAACATGCAGGAAATGGGACATACGACCAGATAGAAATAAGTCTGACAGAAGTCAAGAGAGCAATCAAGACATTGAAGAACAAAAAAGCCAAAGGACCCGGAGGGATACCAAACGAACTAATTAAAAACGGAACGGAAAAGTTATTCCGCATGCTACACAGAATGTTCAAAAGAGGACTAAATGTCCTCTTCGAGGAAATACCTGCGGAATGGACACAAGCATACATCACATCCATGCATAAGAAAGGAAACAGGAAAAAATGTGAAAACTACAGAGGAGTTAGTATAATATCGTCGGTAGGTAGACTTTACGGGAAAATTATCAAGAAAAAACTAGAAACTGAAATAATAGGAAAAATTGGAGAAGATCAAGCAGGGTTCACAGTAGGAAAATCATGCCTAGATTATACGTACACATTAGAACAACTGATAGAGAAGAAAATGGCAAAAGGTAGACCGGTCCATCTGGCGTTTGTTGATCTAAAGAAAGCATACGACTCAATACCTAGAGTCAAATTATGGGAAGCAATGAATGATCTCGGAATCCGACAAACACTAATAAAGGCAGTTAAAGCACTGTACAAAGAAAACAAAGTAGCTATTAAATGTGGAAATAAAGCCTACAATCCATTTAAGACGACAAAAGGACTTCTACAAGGCTGTGCTACGTCCCCTACTCTGTTTAAAATATTCTTGGAAAAGACACTCAAACCATGGAGGAGAAAGTGCGAAGGAATGGGCATACCAGTAAGAGACGAATACCTATACACCTTAAGTTTTGCCGACGATCAAGTAGTCATCGCACAAGATGAAGAAGATCTCAGCTTTATGCTCAGAAAACTAGAAGAAGAATATAAAAACAACGGAATGGAAATAAACTTAGAGAAAACCGAATACCTAACAACAGAAAACAAGGATATGAGAAACCTAGAGATAGACGAGGGAAGACAAGTAAATGAAACAGATAAATTCAAGTATTTAGGAACCATAATATCGAACCAGGGAACAACAGAAGAAGATATAAACAACAGACTAAGACAAACAAGAAACTGTATAAGACAACTAAATTCAGTGCTGTGGGATAAGAACATTACGATAAAGACAAAAAAGAGAATATATAATACCCTGACAAGAAGTATCCTGACATATGGGTCCGAAAACTGGACAATAAACAAGAGAAATAGAGGTAGAATAACAGCAGTAGAAATGGAGTTCCTGAGGAGAAGCTGTAGACTTACAAAAAAAAAACAGAATTGAAAACGCAGAGATTAAGCGGAGAATGGAGTGCAATCAGACATAATCGACTATATATAGGAGAAGAGACTATCCTGGTACGGCCACGTCCATAAGAGCGGACAGAGGACGCTGGATAAACAAAATTACAGAATGGAGCCCGATCGGAAGAAGAAACAGAGGAAGACCCCGAAGGTCATTCAGAGACGAAATCGACGAGGCTATGGAGAAAAGAACCCTGCGAGATGGAGACTGGAATGACAGGGAAAATTGGAGAAAACGGTTGAGTGAAGGAAGATAGTGAAAACTGTGGAAATCCTTAGTAGTATTAGTATTACAATAATCTGCCTTTATACATGTTATAGGTATAAAACAAATAACAAAAAACCCAACTCTAGCGACAAAACTCCAGAAGAGGCCAAGTCAACAGTTCTGTTCGTCCCTCACAAAACTTCTTCAGGGGATGGAGTAGTTACAGTATAATGACCGCTACCATTCAATGAATTCTACCATTCTACCCGGTTGAACATTCTGGACTGAATTGCGACGTATTGGACAGCAAGATTAGCAATTATAAAATTATAAAACACCATGTAAAAATCAATATTTTCAGTCTGATTTAATTTATTGTTGTTGTTACTAAAATCTTTGATGTGGAAAATAAAGTTTTAATTGTGAGTTCAGTTTAAGTGGATTCAACACGGGGCTACCGCTTGAACATTCTGGACTGAATTGCGACGTATTGGACAGCAAGATCAGCAATTATAAAATTATAAAACACTATGTAAAAATCAATATTTTCAGTCTGATTTAATTTATTGTTGTTCTTACTAAAATCTTTGTAAGTCGAAAATAAAAGTTTTAATTGTGAGTTCAGTTTTTAAAAAAGTGTTTTTCCCAAGAACATTAATAATTTGTATGATATTAATGTATTTTACATTTGATATTCTTAATTAATCTTATTTTAATACAATATATTGATGAATCTTACAGTTAATAGTTTGTGTGTTTTTAATTATTCCTTTTGGTCCCCATATTTGAAAGTAAGGTAAGATCATTGATTTAAAATATTATAATTTAAAATTCCTAATATTTATAATTCCATAACAACAGCGTACAGGCTTTTCCGCTGGAGATCTATCAAGTAAGTATATCTATAATATAAATAATAATATTACGAACCTGATGGACAGTCTTCTTTCTTCACACAGGTTTGATTATTTTCATTTAAAATTAGTCCCTGATCTTCATTGCAAACACATTCATGAATGCAAAGACCTCCACAAGAAGTCCAAGGTTGACGAATTGGATTTGGATTTTGACAAGTTGGAACTTTCATGCAAGGGTTTGTACAAATTAATTTCTGATCCGGACGACAATTTTTCGGTGTAGTCGTATCTAAAAGTAAAAAAATTATTTTCTTATCTTCAATTTCTAATGTTAGTATAGTTAGTTACCGTAGAATGGGGTGACTTTGATTCAATAAGGTTACTTTGATAGAACATGAATATTTTGTTTCAAGAGAGTATGCAACCCAAATGCGTTATGGTGGTCGTCTAAACTTAATTTCAATGCACATGTTGATTAACTGTATCAGGAGCATCGAGCAATAAGACAAAAGAGGGAATCTAATCCTTATGAAAAGGAGACCAAAAAAGTGGCCTCTGATGGCGGACATATCCGGAAATGCGAATGCGCCAAATTTAAATTTTCCGACACTTATCAACAGTAGCTATATAATATTTCGCAGAATGTGTCTTAGACGAGAAAGTTTTAATTAATTATTATTGATAAGAGTCTAAAATGCGACACAATTGTTAAAAAACTTCAATATAAATAAGATTTCATGTGACATTTGGGACAAAAAATAACATAACCCAACTAAATTTGATGTCAAACAAGGAGAGAGACTCTCTTTCCTTGTTTAATGTGGCCTCTAAAGATCGCATTTCCTGTCTAACAATATGTTTGCCCCCACTACCTTTACATTTCCTCTATTGTCTTTTTGCTCGATGATCAGGAGGCGATTGTGGCGAATATCAAAAGTACACTCTTATAAATGCTCGGTTGAAGTTTTTGTTTTAATTTGAAGATTTTAGATTGTGTAACTAAATTTAAACATATAGCTCTTACCATACAATTTCAGGTAATTTTGCGTATGTTGCCTTCTTTATCCATATCAAAAGCCAAAATTCCGCGAGTTTATAAACGGAAGCTACAAGAACTTCTCTGACGAAACTCTTGAACATACTCTGCTTCAAATAGTAAACGGAAACTTGTCTGTTCAAAAAGATTCAAAATTCCGTAAGGTACTTTATATAATAAATACAAAGAGAAGCATGGGAAGAAACCAGGCGGCCAAACTGCATTGTCGGCGCTGGAGGAAAAATCAATCGTGTACTGCATTGTCAAATGTGCCGTACAACTTTTCACTAAGAGTTATTTGGAAAGAACTGGAAAAATTATTTCTAAATTTAAAAACGTAGTTAGTCCTGGTAACGATTGGGTAACCCATTTTTTAGAGAGGCATAGTCAGCAAATCTCTGAACGACTTGTGTCTAACATTACTAGAGCTCGGGCAGGTGTCACAAGAGAAACGATAGAATCATATTTCAATAATTTAAGAACAAGTCTCTCAAATTGACCTCCATCGCACGTTTTCAATTACGTTGAAATCAACGTTAGTGATGATCTTGGGAAAAGAAGTTTGCTATAAAGAAGAGCAAATACCCAGAGCAAATCACTAATCATTGTAAAGCCGCCACATCAATCATGATGTGCGGTGCTGCTGATGGTACACTACTCCCTCCTTATTATAATAAATCGCAATGAACATATGTGGGATACGTGGACATTAGGGGGTCCACAGGGCTCTTCTTGTTGTAGTAGTGGATGATGCACAAGAGGAGCTAGATATAACCAATCAAAAAATGGGTGGATGGAGGTAACTTGTTTTAGAGACTGGTTTGAGACCATATTATTATCACACGCAATACGGCTGGAAGGTAAAAAAGTTATGATCGGTAACAACTTGGCGTCTCACTTTTCAGATCATGTATTACAACTGTGTGAATTGCACAATGTTGAATTTGCGTGCCTTCCCAGGCACGCAAGTTGTGAAGACCGAAGATTTTAATGCTTCTTTCGCTGATATCTTAGCAATTCTGAAGACCCCATCAGTTGAAACAAATGAAACAGCCACAAAATGCATATTTCCTGACAGAGTTGATGTTAAAGAAAAATAACTTATTTTGTTTGCCTTTTATAATATATTTTTTTGACTTTTGTTTACTATTTTATATTATTTTACTAATTTGCTAAAATATTTCTTTACCTAAATAAAGTATTAGCTACTTCTAGAATCATTTATTATAAGAAATACTAATTATTGTGTCTGTAGCAGCTATCAAGGTCACCCCCAAATTAAAATTGAAATAACTAAAAATTGGCTCGATCGATTAAAAAATGGGTTGACATTGATATTACTACAGCTTTTATACATCGGCTAAGCTATTTCAAAATGGGGTATCAAAGTGACTCCACATCAATGGGTGGCTTTTATATACACTTTTTTATTTATTTATTTGAGAAAATCCTCGATTTGAAAAAATATATATACTATCAATTTAAATTAAATAAACATAAAATGCATCCTAATGGTGACTTTTACACATTTTTGGGACGGCTTATTCAAAAGTTGCGCTAGAAAATACGGAAAAAAATTAACAATGTCAGCCGTTCTACGGTAGTAAGGGTGGGAATTATTTGTGCAAAAACAACAAAAACATTTCGAATTTAGATTAATATTAACAGTTAAATGAAATAAAAATTATTTTACGTACCATTTTGTCCGAAAACCAAAACACAGCCCAAGCATAAGACGAATAGTAAGGAAAACTTGTCCATTTTTACTAATTTTTAGTCATTTGTTAGAGTAAACATCTTTATATACTAGTAGTTTTCAAACGCAAAGATTTTTTTAACATAAATTAATAAATTTAAACTACGTGAAAAAATAATAACAAAGAATATTTTATATTTTGTAGATATAGATACAGAAACTGTTTTTTGCAATTTAGATTATTACACTAAATTTTAAATAAAGCACAGATTACTCATTTAAGTTTTACAGGTATTGAATATTCAACTTTTAAATAAGTTTTGTGAAAAAGTTTGAGGACATCCAATTCTACATAATAATGTTCTAACTATAAGACTGATGGGGACATATTTTTAATTAGTTTCTGTTTGTGGACTAGCATCTTCTTTTTCTTCTTCTTCTTATTTTTTTAAACTTTTCTCTATGAGCTAATGGGCAAAATTTTGTTATGGAACCACATTATTGTCCAATACTATGCCACCATGAAAGTTTCTTTCAATCAATCCATCCTTTTTCCTCTATTTTTCATTATATTATAATGCAATATACGGAAATGCATTTGCATAATACTGTTTTTATCTTAATAAAAGTGCTGTTTCGAATTACATTTAACCCGGCGTCACCCAGGTTGGGTCTAATGGTACCCCAAAGACACTTAGAACTAGCATAATTCTATGGTTAATACGCGGATGTTTTATTGATTGCCTATAGCTTCATAAAACATGTTGCCGTTGGATATTCGGAGATAGTCAGTTGTAAGTTGATCGATCCCTGCAAAGGTGGGGAGTACGTATGGTGTTCAGTGCAGAGTATGCGGGGCGAGCGAGTGTCGGACGTGGACCTGGTGAGTTGGACGAAGCGCGGGGCTAGTTTGGGGGGTGAATGTCTTGGGGGACAGGGGGTGGACGGAATTTGGAGGAAACTGGTGTGACAAATGGAAGGGGAAACTTTAGGTAGGAGTTCAAGAGACTTAATGGAGGTAAGGAGAGTGAAAAACCAGACCGTGAGGTTTGTAAATGCATTTTTTAGGTACTAGAGCAGAGGAAAATCTTTAGTTTTCGGGACTCCTTACCATGGTATCCAAAACCCATATGTGATTAAAACGCTTCTTAGACTCTTTTATAGTACGGTGTACACCAATATGTATTTATAGATAAAAAAGGCGCGGTATAGCCGAGCACACACACATTTCACAGGCACACACATCGTTGCAGGATCGATATATTTTGAAATTAAATGCGTTATGTGGCATCCCTCTACCTAGGTGGCCGGGTCTAGTATCGAAACTTGGGGCCCATCGCTAGACGCGAGGAACAGATCGGATGATATCATTTCAGTGATGACACTGTCTATCGATTTAAGCAGTTGTGTATTGCACGGGCTTACGTGGCTGACGCAGGGGCAGGCAAGATTAGAAGTGATCTTTTCGATGGGCGGTGCTCATTTCCGGCAGTATATTGCGAAACGATGTCCGATTGAAAAATATTGACGGAGTAATTGAAGGCTGTTCTGGACCGTACAGTAGTGACTCCCCCGTACTTTGGTATGTTTTTAATATTGAATATTTTTTATGCAGAATAACCAGCCTTTGATAGGCCCGTCCGTACCAATATTTTAATATACAGATATCCTAGGATATATTGTCCATAAGGCTAACTAAGAGCTACCATATTGCTAGTTAAAAAAATCGAAATATCAATTTTCGATTATTGCTATACGTATTACGAGCTCCTTTGAGGGAGTAAGAGTTCTTGCACGTTTGGTAACACTTGGTTGAGCGGGAACATAGTTGTACCTTCATGTTGGTAACTCTGGAGGTAATTATTAAAAACGAGCGAGAGATTCCCCAGATGTATTTTTAGAGTTTATGTAAGTAACAGATCAATCACAGAGCCTTCGGTATTTGGAGTGCAGGAAGATACATATCACTATGGTATCCGTTGTTACACTTTCGGGGGAACCTAGGTTAATGTAACCCCTAGTGTCGAGCGTACCCACTGTGGTGGCGAGATAGGGGGGCTATGTTTCCTCACCAGCCTAGTGCTGGCGGATAGGTAGGAAATAAAATACTACCCGCGGACCAACAGGTAGGGCGGAGGATGCTCTAAAGCTGTAGAGAAAGCAAATCCTCTAGGAGAAGGAATACTCCAAAATTAAACCCTGGTCCTCCAGGTCGGGGGTTGAGGCATCGGGTTAACTCCTCGTTACTCGGAAAAATTCAAACTGTTAAAAAACCTAGCGAAACGCCTCGGAATCGATGGATTATAGCACGACGACACATGCTACGGAAAAGGATAATGAATATTGGAACTTGGAACGTACAAGGGTTTAAACAGAAAATAAATGAAATAATACATGAAATAAATAGACTGAACATAGACATCGCAGTGATTACCGAAACAAAACGAAAAGGTCAAGGATCAGAAAATATCGAAGAATATGATTACTTCTACAGCGGGGTACCAAAGGAGAAAAGAGCCCAACAAGGCGTAGGTATACTTATACGCAAGAAACTAAGGAGATTCATAACTGCTTGGGAAGCCATCAACGAAAGGTTCATAAAAATGAATCTAACTATCAAAGGAAAAAGGTTACAATTATTGGAGTATATGCAGTAAACGATGATGCACTGCTGAATATTAAAGACGACTTTTTTGAAAAGCTACATTCAGAAATTGCAAATATCGGCAGATCACGAGAAATTATAATCTTGGGGGACCTAAACAGTAGAACAAGCAAGAAACAACACAACAAAGTAATAGGCCAATATGGTGAAGAGGCTATAAATGACAACGGTACTAGACTACTAGACTTATGCGAACAAAATAATATGAAAATCACAAATGGATTCTTTCAACACCGAGATATCCATAAATATACATCGACACAAAATACCCGAGGGCTGAAATCAATCATAGACTATACAATCATAAGACAAAAGACTAAATTGATTGTACAGGATGTGCGGGTATATAGAGGAGCCACTTGCGGCAGTGACCACCATCTATTAAAAACAAAGCTCACAATAGAAATAGATGGAGCAAGAGATTTAAAAGAAGCTGCAGAGGAAATAGAAAAACTAACAGAAAAGAAATACAACCTAAACAGCTTAGAACAAGAAAGCGTGAGGGATTTATACAGGAGTAGACTAGATAAAAAGTTAGAAACCATGCAATGTACCAGCAATGAAGAGCATTATCATTATATAAAAACATGTCTTCAGGAAGCAGCAACAGAGGCTCTCGGACTCCAAGTAAAAAAGCACAGAAAAACTTCGTATTGGTGGGACGAAGAAATAGAACAAGAGATTAAAAATAAAAGAGAGAAGTATAAAAAATTTCTGAACACAAGGACCGACGTTGATAAGGTAGAATACAAGAGGACCCAAGGTAAAGTGCGAAAAATGATATGCCAAAAGAAGGATGAGGCTTGGGAGCAAAAGTGTAACATGATTAACACACATTTAGGAGGACGGAGAAGTACAGAAAGTTGGAAAGTATTAAAATGGCTACGACAGGAAAAGAAAAGAGATATAATATCATCAATCACACCGGATCAATGGGACGAATATTTTAAAAAAACTCCTAAATGAGGACAGAGCGGAATTTTTAAATAACAGTGATACCAGCAACGTAAATATCTTAGCGTCACCATTACGAATAACAACAAAAGAAGTAGAAGAAGTATGTAAGTCTTTAAAAAATAACAAAGCACCAGGACCAGGAAACATACCAGCTGAACTAATAAAATATGGCACAACAAAATTATATGAAAACCTGGCTAAACTCTTTCAAAGATACATCAACGGAGCGGAAATCCCAGAAGAATGGAAGACATCATGGATATCCACCATACATAAACAAGGCAGACGGGATCAATGTGACAACTACAGAGGCATCGCTGTAATGGACTCGATCAGCCGAATATACGGAAAACTGATTAAAAATAAAATCGAAAACGAATATAAAGATATAGAAGCCGAAGAACAGGCAGGATTCCGGGCAGGGAGATCAACGGTAGATCATCTGTTTTGTATTACACAGATTATTGAGAAGAAACTGGCCGTTAACCAGGAGGTGCATCTGTTATATGTAGACTTGAGAAAAGCATATGATAGCATCCCACAAAACAAACTATGGGAAGCATTAGAGAAAACCAATATAAGCGCAAATTTAATAACAGCGACGAAACAATTGTATACCAAAACTGCAGCAAGGGTGAAAGTTGGAAGCGGACTATCGAGAGGATTCCAAATTAGCAAAGGCCTAAAACAAGGGTGCTGCCTTTCACCGACATTATTTATGATCTAAAACCTTAGAGTAAACTCTAAAACTTTGGAAACGAAAATGCAAAAACATGGGATTACCGATCAACAACAATACAATATACACTTTGTCATTTGCAGAAGACCAACTTGTACTACCGCAAGACTACGATGATATAGAATATATGACAAGGAAATTAATAGAGGAGTAGAAAAAAGGTGGTTTGGAAATAAACATAAAAAAGACCGAATATATGTGTATCGGTGGGACACAGCAGGACCTTACACTGGGGAATGGCGAAATTATTAAACATTGCGATGCATATAAATACCTGGGTATGACCATCACACAAGAAGGAAACGTAGACCGGATGATAGAAAAAAGAAACAACCAGGGAAGAAAAGCAATTACCCTTCTCAATAGCATACTGTAGGATCAGGCAATATCAAACAACAACAAACATAGAATATACAATACAATAGTTAAGAGTATAATCACTTACAGCAGTGAAGTATGGCAAATAAAAGAAAGATACAAGAGAAAACTTGAAGCAACAGAAACGGATTTCTGGAGGCGCTCAGCAGGAAAATCAAGATTAGAAAGGGTAACCAACAAGAGAATTAGGGAAATAATGAATGTGAAACACACAATAGTAGATGACATTAGTACCAAACAGCTTAGATGGTATGGACGCGTACAAAGAATGTCCGAAGAACGACTCCCGAAACAAATCCTAACGTGGACCCCTCATGGTAGACGAA